TTTTAGGATTGATAGAATAGAACACATTCGTTGATCTTGACTCGAAAGTGTGTTCTTTGGATGCGTTTTGCATCAATTTCCATAGGGCTGCGCTATGCTCTCGGACTAAAAAAGCAGGACCATGACCCTTTGTGCCGGCTTCGAAATATTAATCGACTTTTGTTGGGTTTTAAAGCTGAAGCGGATAACAAAGCTTGAGCCGGGTTATCGGGCGCGAAAAAGTTAAAGTTACAGAAAGATGGATTTCCAGCGGTAAGTCAAGTTCAATTTGTAAACTAATCATTTTAAATTTATTCCAAAAAAATGATTAAATTGTAAGTAATAGATACGGCGCCTCCACCACAATGTCACAACCTGTTTTGTCGTGACTGGGGACTTGGGATCCAGTCCAAAATGAAAACCAAATGTAAAATAAAAATGCCTGTTTATTACTTACAAAATGAAATAAATAATAATGAAATAGGGGAAAGTAACATGAATAATTTTATAAATTTAAAATGATGAGTTTACAAATTGAACTTGACTTACCGCTGGAAATCCATCTTTCTGTAACGTTATAACTTTAACTTTTTCGCGCCCGATAACCCGGCTCAAGCTTTGTTATCCGCTTCAGCTTTAAAACCCAACTGACTAGGAAAACCGAATTATTGATCCAAGTCGATTTCCTATTGTCAGCAAGAAATTATTGATTTCTCAAACTTGGGTCGTTGCACCAAGTTTTTTGCTGATATGCTGATGCGTCTAATTATTCATTGCAATGCCAGTATTGCTCAATATTGGTAATAATCGTTTATCCTGTTGTACAGGAAACTAAATTAGAACAATACGACATGTCAATGAACTTTCGAATTATAATATAATTAATATTATAATGGGTGTTATTCTTTGGCTTGACAATACAAAATCAAACATTTTCCAAAACTACGTCTGATTCACATGAACAACAATCCACGTTTGCAATATCTCAAGGAGGGAGAAGTTATATTAACCAAATGCCACGATAAATGATTATCAATAATCTATTTAACAGATGCTTGATGCTTTAATCAGCCATCATGTTTTAGTTTTTTAAATACATTGTAAAAGTAAACATCAAGTGACTTTTTGAGCCACCGCAATCTCGATAAGAAACTTTTGCTATAGCAAGTTGATCCAACGTCACCACTGTGTCGCAATAAATAAAATAAATGTTTTTCAAATCACAAGTTTCTGAATCGAAAATATTATATACACATAGTTGTGGTGTAGAATGTGGGGTGTTTCCGGAAAGTTTAAAGATAGCACTTTATATGTAATTTGCCTTCAAGATAAAATTTGAATACCTATATATTTATCAGGATATTTTAAGATATATAAGAAAACGAGCAAAAAATTGTTTTAAAATTTATCCGCAAACGAAACTAAAATAACAAGTCCTAAGCCTTTAATTCACCTGACCTGACACGAACCTTATCCTGACCTGGTGGGAACTTGGACTAATGTTTAATGAAAAGTGATATAGGAACAGCGTGTATTATTGTAGTATGCTCGTAACGTCGTTTCAGGAATTCTACATTTTATATTTTGGATAGTTTTAACAAAGCCCTTTATAAAGTGACTGAGAATGCGTAATGAACAATAAATAAGATAAAATCTAATCTATACTGTGAACTTTGCTATAATGTATCAGTAAAATTGTTTTTAGGCGACTGTCACAAAAAGATTAGTTTTACGGATTCAATATCATCCCTAAAGTATGTCTTTTTTGGCCGCATATACTTTATGGCCGCATATACTTTATGGCCGCATTTACTTCACAACCGCATTGCTTTTTTAAAAAAGCTCAATGTAAGATACCAGGCGAAAAAGTCGGCAATTTTCTACAAGCACACTCTCTTTATCGTAGGTTTTGTTATTAATAATTGTGTATCTACCTATCTCTGCTGGATTATTTATTTGATCAATAAACTTTAAAGCTACTGTTGAATTTTCTTCTTTTTTCGAAAACAAACACTCGCCTAAAAAATTTTGTGTGCACCTCGGCCGAATGATCTTTTTTGGCCTCACCTGAAATTTGCTTGGCCTCGGCTGCGCCTCGGCCGCAAATTTCTGATTCGGCCAAAAAAGATCAACTTTACGGCCTTGGTACACAAATAACTATTTTCGACCTAAAATGAAGAACACTTTGTCCCTGATTGAACACTGTAAACAATAAATAGATAAATTGGTAAGATACGTGATGACTTGGTGAGTATAAGTAGGTATTAACGTTGCTGCTTCTCTCGTTAACTTATTCTCGAAAGTTCTTTGAAAAAAACAGGCATCAGAGTTTTGAACGAATTTTGTTGTGGTTCGGATGTGATTAGGGATATTTAAGATCTTTCACTTAATAATGAAATCGATGAATTACACCCAAACAAGCTCCAATTCACGGATTCTTACAAAATTATTGTGAACCTAGGACAGAGAACTTGTATTATTAATATAAATGTCAATATATGAACTTATCTTTCAACTTTAATATTCATTTGAGTGGTGTAATGAGCGTTACCGTACGACCTAAATTTTTTTTATGTATTCGAAATGGTTTTAATTATTCACAATAGATTTTATTTATAATTTTTCCGAATAAATGAATTTTAAAAAGTGCCGTTTTTCAATAAAAATGAGTTACGTAATGAGCTCATTACATCACTAAGTACTGTAACATTTTCAATTTCTTGGCTAATAAGCTACCTTGTTTTGCTTTAGTAGATATGATTCCATATAGAACTACAATGAAATAAATGAATAAACAACTATCTTTTTTGTGCCCAGATTTTGTTACCTTGATTACTGCCTTCTACTGAAAGTTTTTTTTGTGCAGGTTTGCAACTTTTGTTGATTGATCTAGGAAGGTTTGATTCAGTACGGCAGGGCCCGCTATTATTGATTAGAATCTTAGGAAAAGGAGGTAGTACCATCATCATCTCTGTTTGCAAATCCAATCAGTAATCTGAGGTTATGATAATAATTGTTGTTTAATCTTTGACTTTTCATTTCCATCATGTCATTGAACAGCTGTTTTGTCTAGGCGTTTTCTTTAGACCTGTTCTACCTTTTAATATATGTTCTATAGGCACTTTTCAACATTCACCAGTCATTTTTTACACAACCGATTCTCAGTTCGTACTTTTGGGGTGAAACTGAACACGTCCTTTTCTATAATTTTCTTCAATGTCAAAATTAGAAGTTTGACAGATGAAAGTCTTCTTCCGAAATCTAAATTCGAAATGAAGAATCTGCCCTTTTGATCTGCGACCTCACGCTGAGTAGTCGTCCGGTCTCGGGCCTCGGCCCTAATTATTTTTGGGGCGAGACTTTTTGGAATTTTGTGCCAGGGAGCTCAAGTAGACTAATTTCTTGCTGATAATTGTCTAGAGTCGTCCCTTGGTCATTTTTGGATTCTGTTTCGGACTGTTCCGAGCAGCATTTGGAAGTTTAAGACTTCACCTTTGGTCTAGAGTATCCCTCAATTTGAGGGTCCTAGTCTCAGACTATAGTTGGACAATTGCTAAGCTGTATTTAGAGAGATTCTAGACTGGATCTAGATTGCTCTCAGTTGGGGCTTTGGTAGCCATTCTTCAGCAACTCTCTTGGTGCCACTCTGGCAGAACCACGTCGAGTTCTACGTTGAACGGATACAACGTGGATAGGACTCATGACTCACTTACCATACCTTAGCCTATCTATAGTGAGACCAAACCTGTAGATAATCTCACTTTGGAAACTTCTGGATTTTCACATACATTTCACTTGTATACATGTAAGGTGCACCTTTACTATTTAGGCAAATCTTATATAAATCATCTGACACCGAATTACGTCGGTAAGTGCCCCTTAAATAAAATTCTAGAATTTTACCCTGAGGTTGCCCTAACTATAACTTTCACCTTTCTGTGTTTAATTTGCCTGATGGTAAAGTGTAACCCATACTGAATTTTTCTTATCTCTCACAAGTGTAAATACCAAAAGGTTTTTAGTCATGTTTATTTAAAATTCATATTTATATATGCATTATTTACATTCATTCTTTTGATAATCAAATATTTATAAATTGGTACAAGCCATAATGTATACACATTTTTAATAACCTCCTGACTATCCCTATATTTTGTTATTATTTTTAATAAAGAAGCCAGATACATTATTGTACCTAATTAGTTGTTTTATTGATAAGCTCTCCAATTGCACAGGTTTTGTTTTTAACATCATTTAGTTATCTTCCTAGTTAAGTCACAATTAACTTGGTGGCGCCCAAAGGTAAGATGTATACAAGGAACCCATAGACCCATGGCCTCCGAACTGAAGCTGACTAGCCGTAGCAGTATAATTAGGCAATTGCCAAAATAAGTACGTTATAGTACGATAATACAACTTATTACGTTGGTAACTCAAACAGGCTAAAATGAGTTACGTAATAAGCTCTTTCAATGTGGGGCGTACATAAAATATATTTTTCTGCGATTGACAAGAAATGTTCCCAAACAACCAGTTTACGTTTTAAGTACGTACATAATACATCAACCTTCGACGTAACTTACATCTTATGTACGTACTCTGATATCCATTGTACATTCTATATACGTACATAGTACCTCCAAATTCCACCAGATAATACGTTTTATGTACGTACATTATTGAAGTATTTAGAACGTCATATGGACATACACAAGACGTACTTTTTAAATCCCATTTTACAGGCTCTAAAAATTGAAATTTCAAATTTTGCTTCAAGCTTGGATGATTGAAATAATGAATTAATGGTACATTAGTAGATTACATACTTTTATTCCAGGAAAATAGATAATTGAACAAGTAGGTAGGTAGGTACCTAAATAAAAAATCAACAATTATTCTTATTATATCACAATTCGAACTCTAAACAGAACTTGAGATGCCATCCTTATTGCAGGAATTAAACAAAACATAAACTCTTAATATTCTAAACAAAACATTATTAGACATAAAAAACCTAAAATTTATCGTTTCGATTTTATTCTATCGTTAGCCCTTCGTAGCCAGCCAGAAACCGCATCTTCCACCTCCTTCTTGTTTTTTGCCTTGCCCCCAGCCTCAGCAGCAGCTGAAAATTAAATTTTTGATTATCTAAGCCGAAAATCTAAATGCCTTTCATTAAAATGCAAACCAAAATTTGTTTCTATACTAATTTCTTTTCATACAAATTTATGGCTACATTTTCAAAATTATCCTCACCAATTATTAGCTTTGAGACTTCCATTACACTGAAGTTCTTTTTATTTCTTCTGCCTAACCAACTATATTGGTTAGCTAGCTCATCTGTCATGACTTTCTTCAAACATCTAACACAGAAGTCATAGATGTTTCTCCCCCCTAATCTAGATAGCTCATTAACCTGAAATAATGATAAAACATATTAGATGCATCAATGTTCTAATGTTATCTAAGTAGGTAACTTGAAGCTTTTAAATTAAAATTGAAAAATGTGTCTGATTAAGCTGATGATATCAAACCAAGACGTTAAGGATTATTTCACTAGAAACTTGTTTTAGTTCATTCATGGCCACTTTATAAAAACATTTAACATAACATCTAGCATTTAACATTCAAAAAAGTTCGACTTATGCAAAGTAATATAGTGGTTTATAAAATTTTCATGAACCGTTACATTATATAGGTACTTTGTGTAAGGCGAAATTTATTAAATGTTAAATGTTTTTATAAACTCACCATTAATAACAGAACAAAAAATATGGTAAAAATAATATTTCTTACCGCTTTCTCAAAAAAATTTGTATCCTTTAACGCATTATTCAATTCAGAGAGGGCTTCATCATTCACTGCTGGGTTTTCAAAGAGTGATTTCTCGTGCAGAGACACAGGGTTCTTCAAAATTGGCTCAATGGGAATATCATCAACGCGGCTCTTGATAAATGTAAGTTGTCTCAATATTTCTTTTATATAGTGAACTAAAAAAATATCAACATTATAATTGTTATTCCTAAACTATAAGTGAGTATTAAAATATTTCTGGTATTGAGAAAAAACTTTCTGCAGTAAGTTCTGAATTTCATTATTCATGATTTCGGTACCTCAAATATTTTTCTTACCATGGACAGGACAACATGTACATTTTGGATCATTTGAATTATTACTTGCAATTGTCCTAGGTCGCACACTTGGTTGCACATGTTTAGGAGCAGAAGCGTTAACTGATTCATTTGCTTGTCCGTTATCGTGTCTCTCGAATCCCAATGAATCATTTAGATTAGAATTAGTGAGATCAACATTCTTACTAAGATTTTGGTTGTTGCCTAAAAATAATTTAAACATGAAATTTATTTTACGAAAATATAAATACCTGAAAGTTCTTCAATAAATTAAGAGCATACCTTCTGATGAGGTTCCTGGCTCCAACAACTTTGCATTCTGTTTGTGACATGATAATTGTGAACTTAGTACCAATTTTTGTTTTACCATCTTAACTACAAATAAATCAGAAAAAAAAGTTAGAATGTAAAAAACACGAAATTTATTATACAGTAGCTATTTTCGGGTTGGAAAAAAGGACGGTTCTAGAACGGTTTAAAACAATCGCACAGTTTATTATTGAAATTTGTGATAGCTGAGCTGTGATCATTTTGTTGATTGATAAACTGTGCGATAAAAGTTATTTATAAAAGTTTCTGTTTCTTGAAAAAATAATATTGAACTATTAAAACTTGAAATAGCATGTACAGGGTAGTCAAAAAATAGAAAAATATACAGTGTGTTTCCTAAGTACGGTTCGTAACTTCAGGATTTGATTCCTTACAATATTTTAAGAAAAGAAGTTCCCACAGAAATGTGTCCGAAAATGCGTAGTTTCTGAGATACAGGGTGTCAAATTTTTAGAAAAAATCGTTTTTCCAACTCAAAAACTCCTTCTCCAATTTTTCTTTCGAATTTGGCAGGTTTATTCGTGAAAACGAAAGGTATCTTTTGACTATAATGTGACTTAGTTAATCTGAAAAAAAATATCGAAAGTTTAAAAAAATAGTGACGTGCCATTTTTTTTCTACTTTTACCCTGTATATATTTTTTTATTTTCTGACCACCCTGTACATGCTATTTCAAGTTACAATAGTTTAATGTTATTTTTACAAGAAGCAGAAACTTTTATAAAAAATAACTTTTTTTGTAAAATTGATAATAGAAAAGTTTCCCATATGCTGCGAACTTAAGTGGACACACTGTATATGAACACACAGGTTTGATTTATCAAAGAGAAAGTTGTAGAAAAAGGATCGAGAAAAATTCACAATTATGGAAATTTTTTTGTTAATAAGAGGCTAGGGTAAGTATAAAACTATGTATTAAAGGATAGAGATTGTTTCGATTCCTATGTTTTTTTTTCCTTATATGTTACATCCTTCCTAACCGGGTCCACCTGTGTTTTGTTAAAGTTTAAAAATGTCCTGCATAGACCCCAGGACGAGAAGCGTGTGTCCATGTGTTTATCCTTTTTGCTAGATTCCTTCCTTTTTTTTTTTATCTGTATATCGTTGGGTGAATGGTTAGCTAAAGTTTGAAAAAAAAAAAAAAAAAAAGGATTCTGATACCTAAACCTGGTCAATGCCTTGAAGCATTTAATAAGATTACTATATGTATTGGAGTTTATTATCATCAACACAAATTAATACATACCATTTTTATCATTTGCTTTGAATGATTTCCCAGTAAATTTTGGGGGAGTCCTGATTTTCACTAGAACATCATTTTCTTCTGAGGAGTCACTTGAAATCCTGTTAATTTTTTTTCTTCTCACAGTCATCTCGACATCAGTGTTCAGATCACTGGTATCTTCGGCTTTTAAAACTGCCTTTCTGGCTTTTTGATAGTCATCTACAAAATGAACCAAATCATAATTTTTATAACTCGTTAGATAGATATATTATATAAATTTAATTATCAAACTGAATAGACAAGGTACACACATTGAAAAATATATTATTGATGTATCACCTTAATAATTGTTTTGATGAAATATTCTAAGTATATGTGGAAAAAGAGTAATGAAAAAAACTAGGAAAAATAATTTAAAGCAAGTAAAACAAAATCACGCTTAGCTTAGGTTTTGTAGGTAAATTTTTCAAAATCAATTTAATAATAATAAGTTAACATATAGTTGTGTGAGCACTTGTTTTGTCAGTAGCTATGTTTGTCGATATAGAGGAAAACATACATACCATAAGTCGCATTTCTAAACATGGTAACTTTAAAAGATGGCCAACAAGTATTCATTTCGTGGGTCCTAACAGCCACTGATATCCTGTATGCCGGCAGTGGAGGCCATAAACAATTCCAGCCATTTTCAGAGTTAGTTAACCAGATTGTGGGAACCATAGCAACAGTATCTTCGTCTATAAACTTAACGATTGTCCAAGTTTTTTGGACAGTTCCAGATTCTTCTGCCATTTCAACTTGTCACTATAGTGTCACCACCAAATATCACTTGTTATAGATAAGTATCATCAGATGGTATTATATAAGTAATAATAATATTATAATATTATACAGGGTGTATATTTGAAATGATACCACCATTGCTATATCCAAAACGGTAAGAGCTACAAGGTCGGTTAAATTAGAAAAGTTCCTTTTTTCGATGCCCATTAGAGACTTGTTTACATTGTTGCCAATTTCCTTCTAGTTCATGAAATACAGGGCGATTACTAAGAAACGTCTAAAAATATTTCATCAATTATTTCAAAAACTATTGATTTTTCGAGACACAATTTAAATTTGAAAGTTTTATCATTTTGTAAAGTTGATGATGGTAGCTTGATCACATAACATCGAATTTAAAATTTGAAGATCAATAGTTTTTGAAATAATGGATGAAATATTTTTAGGCGTATCTTGGAAATCACCCTGTATTTCATGAACTAAAAGGAATTTGGTAGCACTGTAACCAAGACTTAAATGAGCATGAAAAAAGGCATTTTTTTTTCTAAGTTAACTGACCTTGTAGCTCTTGCCGTTTTGGATATAGCAATAGTGGTATCACTTAAAATATACATCCTTATTTACTAGCAGGTACTTACTTATTATAATTAACAAGAAAAATAAACAACAAAATGAACGAAATACAATCAAATAAAATATTATAAATACTTAAATAATTATAAAAAATAGCTTAAATAGAACATCGGCCCCCAACTCACATACTTATGACATTTTTTACATCATGTGTAGAAGAGGAAAAAATACAAACTTTCCTTGATAGTCAAGTTTGACAACTTTATATGCAAAACAGCTTAGCCTCCAGCTCTTGAGTGATGCATTATTATCTTTTTCAGCCAAATATATACCAACTTCCTCAGAATTTAAAGGCTTCTCAAAAAAACTGCCTATTTTTAAGACTTCTTCTCCAAAGAAAAAAATTTCATTTTCTGTTTTAGTAAAATTTTTAATACATACAATTGTTTTGTTTTTCAAACAGCAGTAATTATCAGGTTCAGAAATTTTTAAAACGCAATTTTCTAGCTCTATTTCTTTAAAATGAGTGAGAGAAATAGCTCGATTTTGAAATTCTAATAGTGGGCCCTCATAAAAATGTTCTCGTTTTAAGTTTGGAAAGCTACTAGCAATTTTATGTATGTTTTTGAATAAGTCTATCTCTGATTTTCTGTTAATCACTTGCAACAAAGGCTTTTCTTTTTTTCTGACCATTTTTTTAATATTTTGCATAAAGTTTTCAAAAGGAAACGCGCTGAATGTATCCAATGTTCCAAAATTAATTGCATCTGCGGTGATATGTAATAAATTGTGGATATTGTGAGACACATATTTTTTCCCATATAAAGTAATAAATGTGTCAACAAAATATTTCAACAAGTGCTGGGTATATTCAGTACCTATTGACGCCATATTGTTATTGCTGCACAAAATTGTCACACCAACATGTAAACACAAGAAGTTAATGTATTTATCAAAGGACAATATATTTCTCAACACAACAGGTCCTGTATACAGTAAAAACTGCCTGAACTCTGTTGCTTTCCACCTTTTAAATTCTGCAAGTGGACGCGGCTTTCGATTAAACTCAGCTGGAATGTTTTTCACTTGTATATTCAATAAATTAGAAATTTCTGAAATTTGAGGATGCGATAACTTATTTTCAGGTTTTCCCACACACCAGAAAGAAATCAATTTTTTCACAACTCCCAAACAAATTAAGTGCATGTAGTCTAATGGAAAGCACTTGATCATGTCCAAATTTGGAATTTCTTCTAGAATTGATGTTCCTGTATGATGCTCTGGCTGAATTTTATGACGAAATTCAAAATCTGAGCGTATCTTTAAATTTACAGTTTCTGGAAAACAAACAGAGTCAATATATTGTCCTTCTATATGACATTTAGTACAAGAGTTGTAACCCGAGTGCCCAGTTGTAAATGAAATAAAGGACTTTGCCGGAGCATCACAAATAAATCCTTTAATTTTAAACTTCAACTTCCTTCCTTGAAATACAATTCCATTTTTGATCAAATCCTTGGCTTCTGCCACAAATTCTTTCAGGAATGAATTAGCATTATGTGGTTTATAGTTACCATAATATAACCCAGCTAAATTAACATTTTTATAACCATAAATACTAACAAGAATAGGATAAAATGTTCCACCAGAGCTTTTAAATAGGGGTAACCCATCAATATTCACAAGAATTTCAATGGTATCTAATTGTTGGTCTTGTAAACAAATTTCTGAAAGGGATTGAACACATTTCTCCAATCCAAAATGAAAATATTCTCCTGGTTCTATCACCGTAGTGTTACTGCCCCTACCAGTATTTAAAAGAGACCTTGCATCAACAGGGAGCTCCGGATGTGCAGGTTTAAGAATTTTTAACAAAGCTGTTAAAGCTACCTGTGTAATATTATGATTGACAGCCCAGTTTGAAATTTGTACAGGTAATGAGATTGATTCATTTGAAGGTTTATGCTGAACGTTTAATGTAGTATCAGAAACTAATTCAATATTATCATTTATATTAATATCTTGATCAATATCATCACCAAAATTGCTGTCAGATTCTGAAGAAACTTGGTGATCAAAATCAGAGGTTGCTGAATTCGAGTTAGAATTTGTGGCAATATCATCATCATACACAATGAAACCCTCAACTGTACTACTAGATGATACAGACGGGAGGGTACCTGGAAAGTTTTCTGGAAGGAAGCTGTTGCTTATTGAAGCCTCAAAAGCTTCAATTTTTTTTTTCGTTTTTTTGTAATGCTTACTAACTTTACTTTTACTTGAGCTTTTACTTAACATAGCGAAGTCGAATTATAAAATACCTATCACTTTAAATTATAATAATTACAGAAAAACCCTGCTTAAAACTACCTACATTCACTTCACCTTAATTTCTTATTTAACACACACTTTAATTACTTCTCCAAACAGAAGGGCCTAAAATTTGCACAAAATCTACCAGAAAATCAAAAATTTTAGGTTAGGGATTCAATATTAGTCTCAGTGGTCTTACCCAAGTCGTTATTATTCTTATTACACAGATAAACACACATAAAAATCAAATTTCACGAATCACTCACTATTTGTATGCTATTTGAAATCAAAAAATATCAAAAAATTAAAAATTAGCAATGACGCGGTGGCTTGGTGCGCTTCGTTGTTTTGTTAGTTTTTGAGTAATGGCGGCCGGCGGGTACAGTGTACAGTGGGTACAGAAAGGAGCCGGGAGCGCAAGGCGCAGGCGCAGGGAGGATGAAGTTGATTGGACTGGATTGGACATTTGAAATGGGTACGTTGCCAACGCCTTGATTTATTCCCTAATTTCCTTGTTTTGTGACACTGTTGTGTTCAAGGAAAATTAAAAAGTAGAGCATTTGGACAATTTAAGATGTATCTTGGTTCATAGATCTGATAAGTCTACGATTGAAAACCCCTTTTTATCGCAATATTTTTTTAGATGTGTGCACGTTTAAATTAAATTCTTCGACAATCATATTAAATTTGGCAATGCTGCACAACTATCATTCATTTCAGTTTGGTGGCGGGAATTCGAAAATGCTGTTTTGTTTTTTATTTTCACAACATGGCACCCACTTTCTACACCAAACGTGTTTCTTTATCCCTATATTTTTGTTAGTCTGACAGAGACAGCCTAACATTTTGCTGAACCTGGTGCAGATTGGTGTAACTTTGATGCAAATAAACAAACAAAGCTGCTAGCTTCTTGTTTATTTTTATTTGCACCAACCGACACTTTCTACATCGAGCGTGTTTGTTTATCCCTTTATTTTTATATCATTTTTATCTAAGATTTTTATTAACCTATCTCTGTCAGTCTGTCCTTTTGCTGCACCTGGTGCAGCTTTTGTGTAACTTAGGTGCAAATAATCAAACAAAGCTAATCAGAATAATTATCATTTGAGGGTATGGGCAAATGAAAAATAAGTTTCAAATTATTTTATGGGTGATCATCATCACGAGTTTTTGTGATAATTTGTTTTTTTTATTCCTCTTTTGTGTACATACTATGTACGTACTGAGAATGACTGATGATTAAATACTAAAGTACGTACTACGAAGTACGTACTTAATACATGTTCTTTTGGTCCTAAGACGTACGTACGTAAATATGACCTAAAATGGACGTTTTGAAAACGTACTGTGTTGTTTGGGTTAGCGTTTTTGACCGGTTGACAGGTCGCAAAACTCAATATTCTAGTATTTCAATTATGTTTCAATAGTTGCTAAGGAATGAATGAATAACAATACGGAAAAAACTTTTCCGGCCTAGGCCGGGAAAGTGATTCTCGTATTGCTGGAACTAAAAGACAAACATTTAACAGGTATTTAACCGATCGCAGAAAAAATAGTATGTGTATTTCGGTGGAAAAGCCCATTCTCGGCCTTCGGTGTTTGCCGGCCTCGGCTACGCCTCGCCCGTCAACTTAGACCCTCGGCCGAGAATATGTCACTTTTCCACTTAAATACACAATATACTATTTTCTGCGATTGACAAGAAATGTCAGCATTTCTGACCGGTTGACAGGTCGCAAAACTCAATATTCTAGTATTTCAATTATGTTTCAATAGTTGCTAAGGAATCAATGAATAACAATACGGAAAAAACTTGTCCGGCCTAGGCCGGGAAAGTGATTCTCGTATTGCTGACTAATTGGAACTAAAAGACAAACATTTAACAGGTATTTAACCGATTGCAGAAAAAATAGTATGTGTATTTCGGTGGAAAAGCACATTCTCACCTAAATACTCAATATACTATTAATTTATTGAATACAGTTTATATTATGGCTGCTTTATACAACATTTGCATAGTCATAATCATAATCATAGTCTTAGTCTTAGTCTTAATCATAATCATAACTTAAGAAGGCGTTTATACAATGTCATAAGCATAAAATAGAATAATTCTAACCCGA